CGCGCCTGATTTAAATGTCACACCTGAACGCTCACATCCTTTTAATTATGTTTGAAATTATGAACATTGCTCAACATCATGAAAATTAAACCTTATTTTCAATAAGCAATCCTGAAAAATATTTGGGGGGTGCTTAACTTTTTTCCAGGTGTATATATGCATGTGAATTATTCAAAAATATTCCTACTAGTACATGTTACACGAATGGTACCTTAAAATTGTAAAGTCATAACAATTCACTTTAAACATCATGATTAAATCATACTATTACGAGAAACATGTTCCGTCAATGTTTCACTTACAATTCATACCAACAAACTTATGTATTTCAATTTTATATACTTCTTATTGATCTATTCTACTCATTTTGTCCCCAACAACTTTCATGAAATAATGTGTAAAAATTACGAGTTATAAATTATGGTCTACATCTGTTCATTTGAAATTACTTAACTGATATTGTGAATATCTGTGCAATAGAGAGAATTTTATTTTGTTACTTTCAATAATCAGTTCACCTGGTACTTGAAAACATGTCTATAAGAATGAATCACTTCCGAGGTTGTAAAACTTCTACTTATTTACAAAGTTTTCATTAGACAAATAACAGCTGTATGATAACCTGCAATATGTCTGATAATATTTACAAAAATTACAAACAAACACTTCACAACCGCACAGTACCTATATCAATCCTCTTCTCAACTTATGCTATGTGGAAAATTTCGGCCATACCAACAGTTAAAACCAGCTTCTGAAATTAGCTTCTACATTTTGCAAGAAACCACAAAAGAAATCCTCCCTCTGCCCAGTTTTCTACCATAGCATTCACCCTCTCGTTGCAAACATTTCTTATACATCAATCTCTCCCTTCACTCTTCAAACTGTGTATGTTTGTAGTTAAAACACTATGAAGACTTAAGTGTCCTGTTACTACAATTGATAACAATTTTATTTATTAAAAAATACAGATTAACACTATCATATTGAGCCAAACTTGTAAAAGTTCTATCTCATAAATGTGTTTTGAAGAACAGAAAATCACACAAACTTTAGAATGTTACCTTTGTTGAAAGTTTTTCAAAGACAATTTTCATATCTAAGAAAACTTAAATAGTGGAGTGATTTTCTAAATAAAAGTAACAGCTGAAGAAAAAGTTACTTCATTGGTACTCATTTATTGTACTTTTATTTTTATATGATATACACATTAGAAGAAACTTTACAAGCTTATTACATAAGGAAGTATACAGTTGTATATACATACAGATATGCTTCTATACATTAAAACAAGATGCCAATTCGTTTGCCCAATAATGATATCAGTTCGTAATATGTTATTGTGTGAAATAAACACAAAGTAGATGTTGTCTTATTATACTACATACACCTTGCTTGTTTACCCTTGCTAACATAGGTTTGTTTAGCTTGATCTTGTAAGATTTCTGTCAGTTCTAAAATCGATATTCCCTGGATAATTTTGAAATGTAGTAAAATATAAACTGCTAATTAGGTAAACAATTGTTATAACACATCAACATTCTAGTAAAGATTCAAGTGTATTTATAAACAGTCATTACCAAAAACATGAATAAAGGTTGTTATACATTTTTTGAGCACAGAATTGATTTTAGTATTAAAACAAAACAAACAACTTTTCCACTTGGTAACAGCAATTTATCTGTAAGATTCATCTGAAATGCATTATTAAGAATAAATTCTATTTCTTCTTTTATCTTCCACTGTAACCTTCAATATTTATACACTTCATTTGTTAAAAAAAGGAGAGATTCAAATAGCCCTAAAATGAAGAAAATTAAGTTATGAAAAATATCAGTTTCTTTAAAAGTTCATTAGAGAAAAGCATTTTCTAAAAATAATCTTATATACAAGATATGAGGCCTTGCACAAATCCCACTTACAGAAAAAAAAAAGACAATATATTCCCTGAAAATAAACCTTTCATTATTTTTACTGCAGAAAGCTATACTTAACATAAGTTATAGAAATGAAATGATTATCTAATTATAAATAGTTACATTTGTTTTTCACTAAAGTAATTTGTTTTATAGAAAACACTCAAAGTTCTTTCTTGGATAAACTCTTTTAAATTCAACCAACACTACAAAGTATTGAAGGAAAAACATAACTTTCTTCACACAATTTTATCCTAGTATTTTTACTAACATGTTTAAATTCAACCAACACTACAAAGTATTAAAGGAAAAACATGACTTTCAGATTGTTCTTCACATAAATTTATCCTAGTATTTTTACTAACACGTTTTTAGTTCACAAAATTACATATTCATAGCTTTAGCTTGAATTGGATACCATGTTTCCTGTATCATGCAGCACACATGCTATACACACATTTTGTTTGAATCTATAATTACAAATAAGGTACTACCTATTTCATTAATAAAAGAATTCCTAGAAAGGCATAAGCTCAATAATTCTTATATAATAATTTTCAAATCTTCATTAGTTGTATCACATTCAACTACAAGTGGATGTGTTTAGCAATGGAAGCTAAAAAGAGCAGTTATGTGTCACGTGTCTGTGAAGAACTGTTTAGCAGCTGTCCATTTGTCTTTTGGGAACCTATTAGCCAACATCCACCGAATATCTATCTCTAAAAAAAAGAAAAAAAGACCACCACATGGAACAATACATGGTTTTACAGAAGAAAGAACAATAAATAGAACCAATTGAACCAAAAACCAGCACCGTTAAGTTAAAGCTTTCTTGGCATTGGCATTATACATGGACCAAATAATTACTACAGCATAGTTTAAGAATAGTATTAAAATAAATATAACCACATTATAATGCATTGTAGGCTAAATTGTTCCTAATCAACATGGAAATTGTTATATTGCTATAATTCCTCTAAGGGCAAGCAATCATCATTATAATAAAAAAAATCTTCAAACTTAGCATAAGCATTTTTTAAAAGGTTCACAGAACAAAGATTATGGAGATCAATTATATCATCAACAGTTATATAAGACACATATTAACACCCTAGGAGCATTCCAATTCATATTTTGTAAGCAAAATTTTGAATTGAAAACAACATTATAAAAGTGTTCACTAACATTAATTTTATATAATTGGATGATATGTTATTAAATCTTGTCTTGTGCATCTCTCAAAGTTTCAAGTTGCAGTGGATTATAATTAGATACTATAATACTAATTTACAGTAGCTAATTTTTTAATTTACTTTAAGAAAGTATTTATTTCTTTTGTTTTCTTATTTTAAAAATTTTCAAAGTTTTAATTTCACTATACTTTTCTTGTCTTGTCATGCTCATCTAGAGACAAGAGAATTTACTTCAAATTCTCCATCATTAACAGTCACCTGATCACAAGTGTACTTATTTTTCTGTTTCTCAATTAACCCTTCAATCTATAATTATCATTTGACTTTACTTTCTCTCCTAGATAGATGTTAGCATTTCCCTTACCTGAAAATGTATTTCTAATAGATACTCATCTCCACACACAGAATAGCTGGATTTCTTTTGCACCTGCCTATGAAATTTGCATACCATGAGCCTTGAGCTAACTCTTACCTAAAAATGATGTATGTAATATGAATGGCACTAGTGCAAGATTTGTTGATAACCCTCTGCAAATAGGATGCAACACAACTTACTTATGCTCTAACTACTTTCATTATTAAACACAGCAAGAAGAAAGTGCACCAAAAGTGGGAAAGATAGGTGTGAAGATGTATTTATTGGAAATACATTTTCAGGTAAGAAAAATGTTAACTTTTGAGACAATACCTCATCCATACACACAGCATAGCTAGAATTCCACATTGAATGGTGGAGGGACTGGTGCAAAGATTAAACCTATATGAGTTCCCTTAAGAATGTCCATGGAGTGTCACATCTGATGGCAGAAAGTCCATAGGGGCACACCCATTGGAGACTGCATCTCAGCTCAACCATCTGAATGGTATACTCTTTGCCTAGAAGGAAACAGAGTGAAAGGCAAAAGAGCTCCAAGTGTTGCAGAGATGGGTAGAATTTGATCATGACCAACCATACAACAGAACACAAGTGGTTGACAAGCAAGGTAGTGTAGTGTGGTCAGGGCACATTCAGACTGTACAGATCATACATCTCAAATCAACTGGAAAGACAGAGATGACGGTGACAAACCCTTCCTGCTGCAGATGGAAGTCACACTAGCTGATTGAGGGGTGACCTGCACTAAACAGACAGTGTCACCACTAACCTACTTCCCACAATACTGTGTTGTACAAAATCAGTGAGGAACTCTTCAAGGTCTACCACCCAAGCTACTGGTAATTGGCAAGGCTCTCAAGTGTTCCATTTGAAGAAAGGTGGGAGGGATGTCTGTTGGAAAGATCTTTTATTGGTGACAATGAAATGTGTGACTGCAAAACCTTGTTTGTAAAAACCAGCCAAAGAAGTGGGCAGTCAATTCCCAGGTGCCAGCTTTTTCCATGATAGTCCATTGAATGATACCGTCTAGATGAGGTAATTGAATAATTTTAATAACATGAGGATACCTCTAGTGGTCTTATGGAACACTCCACCCAAACAGTGGGCACTGGTAGAGCCAGGGCAGATGAACTGGGCACTTTCCATTCCTTCTGGCCAGATGAAGACTTTGGGAAATAAATTTATCTTAGAATGCAACACTAGCCACCTGACAGGATCCTATAAAATGGAAAAGGGTGATTAAAAAGAAAATGTACATACCCTTCTCAAAGATGGCATGTAGTTTTATTGAAGAATAGCAATTGTAGGGAGTCAAAATCTCATTGGAGACAAAACAGCCACATGATGAAGATAATGCCAGCCTGAGGGATCTTGTCAAAGGGCCGATGAAAATGAAATGTAAGAGAACAAGACAGTTGATGAATCTAATGCAACAATCACTTTCCCAAGCAGCTGAAGTCTTGGGAAGAAAGGCCCAGTTTGGATAGAGGAGTAAGTAAGTACAGTGAAAGAAAGTGCAGAAAGCATAGATGGTATATACATCTGACTGATTCCAACTACAGGTGAGAAGGAGGAGAAAACATATCTTCAGAGAAAGAAAGTGTAATGAGCATGAAGTTAAGAACTCGAACAAAGTATGTGTAATAGTGTGTTAAACCACATCAAAGTCCCAATTAGGCATGGCAGTAGGCAAGAGGTTGGTAGAAAAGGAAGGATCAAAACAAAATAGAAAGTATAATAAAAATCTGAAAGTAATGGGAAAGGCAAAATATAGTTGACAAAGCCATTTGAGAACCAGCAATAGTGAAAATAAACAATCCATATATAAACAACCATGCAAAAAAAGCCAAAACGTTGGCTTCAGTAAGATGGCTTTGAGGAAGGGAGAGGCTGATAAGCCAATGTCAAAATAAGTTGATAGATGGACAAAGTTCAAGGATGAAATAAAGGGGATAAGAAAAATTGTTACACAGTTGGAGAGTCCAGCACTGTGAGCAATGGATTGGACAAATCCCACATTTCAAGATGAAAGGACAACATCCATGAGTGAGAGAGAGATGTAGATGAAATAAAAGAGTGGGAATAGGGCAGAGGAAGAAGATTCCTGGACATCAATTGACAAAGCAGAGAAACTCAGGGTTGTGCCAGCCAATGAGGAACCACCAACAGGATCCAACAAGATGTGCCATGTATCAAAGTGAGAACATGAGGGAGAAGAGGAATAGGAGGAAAGGTATACAGAAAAGGGTAAGAACAGTCCTGACTGAGAGATTTGGCTGCCAGGGTTCAAGGATAAGGAAGTAGAGATCCAAAGAGGAGAAGTTTGATGTTTTGAGTACCAAAGGCATTGAATAGACTAAACCCAACTTTAAAAACCTGAGGGTGGAGAGACCACTCCATTGCTTAGAACCCTATCCAGTCAAGAGAAGCAGCTGAACTGAGAAACTTCCTGCAGAAGAATACAGGTGTGAGAAAAGGAGTCTTTTCAAGAAAGGGCAAGGAGAAGCTAATCATCCATGTAATAATGGAACCTCTGCCCCAATCCATGAATGAGACAGGCAAATGTCCTCTGACTCAATTAGAGATAAGGGCCAGACTCAATGTCAAAAGGAAAAGCACAGTACTGAAGATCTGAGCCCAATGGACAAAACAAAGAAACAACCTGGAGGACAGGGCAATCAGAATGCACAAAAAAAAGGTGTCTGAAATGTTGACCTTTGTCATCCACAGACTGGGTAAAAAGAATCATCAGAGACAAAAGAAATCCTCCATATGTAACCAAGGGACAATAAGAAACCACTTGAGAGATGACAGATACCACTTTCTAGTCTTCTTGGGGACCATAAAAAGATGAGAGAAATAATTAAGTGTTGGTGTAAACACCCTCTCGATGCCATTTTAGGCCAAGAGGTGTGGGACTACATCTATGAGACACTAAAAATAAAGGGGATCAGATGGAGGAGGAGAAGAAACAGAAAAGGGGAAGAGATGAAGAGAGGTGGAAAGATAGGCTGTGAATGTAAACTTGAATGACCCATTTATTTGATGAAAATTTAAATCAAAGGCTGGCAAAGAGGAACAAACAGGCCCCCACAGGGCCATACTTGATAGGGCAGTCACTGATGAGATAAGCAACAACCCTGACATCGGTAATTGGGAAGTAGAAGAAAACCAGGAAATTAGATGGGAAGGGGATACGTGGATTCAGCACACACAGAAACAGCATGGCGGAACTGAGGAAAATAAGAAACCATATTAGACAATGAGAACTGATGCCAGGCCACCTCAGTTTGGGTCTCCAGTGAGTCAAGAACACCTCTGATGACCTCTGGGCAAGGAAACGAAGCCCATTGAAAAATACAGAGAAGTAGGAGGGAGGTATACGTCAGCAAAAAGAGCATCCCAGCAAATATGCTCCAACAGCAGAGGAACCAAGTAAGAAGGGATAGAACAGAAGAAGTAGTATTAGCCAATGTGGTGAAAAAGAGATAACAAACCTTCCTAGAAAACCCTTCCTGAAGCACAATGAAGTGCCTCATACATAAGGTGAAATGACAAGAGGTAATGCAGGAGGGTGATAAGAAAGAGACAAAGATGCAAAGATTGGGCACTAGAAAGGGAAATAGAAGCCCTCCCCCCCAAATTATGTCAAGGAAGAGTACAGGAGGGTGAGGATTTTCCTCCACAGAAAAAGCTGTGCTTAAAGCAAATCCTGGTGGGGGAAACAGCAAGTAAAATCATCATCATCTTGATCATGTTCATACTGGGGAGAAGAAATGTTGGCCAAATGGAAGAGTGGAGGAGGCCCAGTGTGCATAAAGAAACCAACATCATGTTGAACTGTCCTCCACAGATAATGAACCCTCAGTAACCATAATAAACACAGGTCTTATGTTTGGGACATAGTCACTATCATGGGACAAAGCAGAAGTTATCATCACTTGAAAATTCATAATGGGCAAGCAGGAAAAAAAAAGTTTTTTTTTCTTCGTCTTTAGTAATAAAAAAAACCAAAGAAACTTAAAGTTGCACAAACTTTTGCAAATTTCCCATAATCTATTAATAATTTGAAAAACCCGTCCATTCTAGACAATGCCGAGGAAAATAATGAAATTATTTTGAACAGATGGTTTTTAAGTGGGAATTAGCTCAAGGCTAGTGGCTTGCAAATCTCATAGGCAGATGCATAAGGGATCAAGCTGTTCTGTGCGTGAGGTATCATCTCAAACTTTTCAAATAGTACGTATAAAGTTGAGCTACACACTTTCTGTAATAATGATTACAATAAATTCTGAGCAGAAACACAAGTTATGTGGGCATGCATCAAGAGAGATGAACAAAATACATACCATCTTTCTTTCTATTTGAAGACGAGGAAGCTTGATAAAGATCCAACAGACACTCCTGTTATTAAAGAAAATGAAATATGTGTTGGGTAAAAACTAGAGTTTCAGAATAAAAATCAGGAATATACTTTATTCTTTCAGTAAATAAACTGTATATTTCTGACCTTTTACCCAAGTATTAAAGTTTTAAATACAATAATTTCTGATAAGTTTGTAAACCCGAAAATATAAAAAAGTTATGCAGATTCTTTGCTTTTCTCTAAATCTATTTAGTTGAGAACAGTGATTATAACCATATCAACAAATATATTTTAGATACTTCCTATTATCAATGGACTTTTTCTATTGTATAAACAATAAAATAGTTTGAGCAACATGTGTGTGTGTGTGTTAATTTCTGATTATTTAAAAAGTCAAAGTTCAGCTTTTGTAATTTTCTGTTGTTGCTCATTCATGTATTTTTAATTCTAAATTAAATGTGGACTATTCACATCTATAGAGCAAAAACTTCAAGCTGATTGGCTGAGATGAAGACCACTGTTACAATAAGTGAACTATACTGTCTCAATAATTTATAACTTTTCTGTGTTAAAAATACTAATGATTGAAGTAGCTAGAACGAAGCTGTTTTACATGTAACTTGATATGCATTTACTGTTATTAACTTCTTAAAACAAGTAAGCTAAATATGCTAATTCAACATTACATTACAAATATTTAATTTTACAATTTATACATTCAGTGCATTTATAAACATATTAAAAATTAAGCAATTTTACAAACTGTAACTTACTGAAGTATTAAAAATCTTTTCTAGTTTGTTCAACAACTTTAAGGTATGCCATTTCAGCAGTTTGATGATAAAGGTATTTGTACTGTGTTCACTCTTTTGAATTTTCCAGTAATTTATCCATAAACCACATAAGAGTTCACTGTAACTTTGGTTTTTATGCGTGTCTATCTGCTTGTTTAATATACACCTCCTCACTTTAAACTATTTCCATCCAATTGTGCAGTATTTAGCCAATAAGTATGCAAATGTGCTTATATTTTCCCATCCAAAGCAACACACTACCTCTTAGCACTGTAACTCAAAGCTCTCTATTAAACAATCAAATCCACTGAAAAATGCTACTTGTGTTATAGCCTTTTTTTTTTTCCTTCAGGTGCTAAACTCATGAATATCTCTATACACCTCATGCTATGTTGTCAAAAATGATTAAATAGCATATCATTCGCTGTCTTCTTATCATTCATACATTTCTTTGCTGTTTATTACTTAACAAGACTTATCTAAACTTCTTATTAATATCTTGTCACATTTAATATTCATAGTATTGTTTTAAGTTGAATTTACTACTCATCGTATTATGTACATTATTTAATATTCATAGCATAAACCGAAAGTGCACGTGATCCTCGTATTGGAGAAGGAATGTTGACTATGTTGCAAATAACTTCCTATTTCAGATCCTAAGTATAAAAAAGAAAAAGATAATTCACTTGTCAGTCAATACATGTTAATTGCTTCAACTCTGTATGCAGTAATACGCTTGAGAGGTTTTTCTTTTTGTTTATAATATAACATTAAAAGTACAACAAGGGACCTTTTGGTTTATCTAGACTGTGTCCTATCCACTATATTAAACTAAATCCTAAAAAAGAAAAAAATTCTCAAATTAAACCCTTATGATTCAAATATTTAGTAAGCTTTCCCTTAAATGAACCGCACTTAGGACAACTTGCTTCAGAAGCCAGCTACTCCGTTATATAAATAATGCTGTTTTAGCTGAAGATGATTTTTACCATGCCAAAATTTATATTTTTGTTCCCTACTATTGCCATTCTCACTATTAAATATGAAAATCATGCATCAACACTATCAATTCCTTTAAGAATCTTAAACACCTCAATCAGATCCCCTCTAACTTTTCTTTGTCAAAAGAAAACAAGTTCAGAGATTTTAACCTATCCTTATATCACAATCTTTCCAATCCTAGTTGTGTAGTCCACCTCTGAACCCTTTCCAACAGTTCAATGTCTTTCCTCAGTTAAGTAGCCCAAGACTGAAAACTGTATTCCAAATATGGCCTAACCAATTGACTCATACAATAATATTATAACCATTCTATACTTCTATTCAATATTTAACCCTGCCACTAGCAACAGCACATTGCTTGGATGGCTTAAGAGACTAATCAACCACAATACCAAGATATTTTTCTTCCACCAACACTGTTAAGGTTATTCCCATCAAAGCCATCTGCCAGTTATTCGCCCAACTCACAAATTACTGCCTTTTGTAAAACAGCAGCATCCTCCCCACAGCCAGCAACATTCAAAACTTTAATGCTGTCAACAAACTTAAATAATTTATTGAACAGTCTTTCATCTATGTTATTGATGTAAATCAAGAAGAGCAAAGGTCCTAACACTGAGCCTTGAGATACCCCTCTAGAGACATTAATCCAGTTTGACTGAAGTCCATTTATAACAACCCTCTGTTTCCTTCTATTTAGCCAGTTTTTTTATCCAGTGAACCAACCTATCCTATTTAAACAATTCTTTTATGTGGCACCTTTTCAAATGCTTTCTGAAAATCAAGATACACCACAACCACACTTCTATCTTCATCTACATAAGAAGTAACCTTTTCAAAGAATGTCAAAAGATTAGTAAGGCAAGATTTTCCCATAGTGAAACCATGCTGACTATACAACAAAATTATAAAATTTGTTAAATCTTTCCATATGGGGTCAGTGAATTCCACCAACCTTGTAACCACAAAGTAACCATGAGAGTTTCCATACTATAACTTTCAATATGTATCTTCACAAAATTTGGCAAACTTTCAGTGCACATTACACAAAAAAATCAGTTGTTTTGAATACCCTAAATCTATATGGACTCGGGGTCTATTTGACAACCTTATAACCACCATAAAAATATGAAATAAATCTAAAGATATATTTTTCCTATACTGAAAATGCATTTCCAATAGGTACTTACCTCACATAAATAGCTATTTTCATTCAGTGCAACCCTTTTTATGCAAATATGTTTTTGCATGCCACAAGCCTTGTGCTCCTAGATACCCCACAATCAAAGTGATTCAAATGCATATTGCATGTAAATCATCATGTAATAACCCTCCACTAATAAGAATGACACACTCTGCTGATGCATGTGACTTTCTCTATTTGATTGTATTGAACTATCAGTTCAAGTTTTGGCAGAAAATGGAAGCAACAGTTTTCAGCATGGAGGAAGGTGGGAAGTGTGAGAGGAGGTAAGTACCTATCAGAAATACATTTTCAGTGTAGGGAAATTATAACTTCTGATACAGTTCATTAATTCCTCTCACATAAATATCTAGAACCCCACAATGAATAGGTGGAGCACCCAAAAAATGGGAGATCCTCGCAGTTGAGAATCATACGTTGGAGACCTCACCACTTCTGTAACAGGTATACTCCACACCCAGTGTAGAAAGAGATGATGCAGATACAGCCAGAAAAAGGAAGGAGCACATAAAGAAGGCAGAGAACACTCATCCGAACCACCTGATATCTGAATCTCAATCCTATAGATGACAGTAATGTGGGTGAGAGTAAAAAGGATGTATTCCAAGGTGTAGAGTGGCTCGGGTGAGATAGACCATACACAGCAAGTCAACTGCATCTAAAACTATGCCACCAGGAACTGACATCCGTGTGAGGGTAGGATGAGGATCATACTGTTGGTAAGTCACTGGAAGTAAATGATAACATTTTCGAAGTGAAACATAAGCTATGGTGAAGAACAATAAAGTCAAGTTATTACTTAAAACTGGTAAAGTGAAATAGGAAAAAAATAGAAAATATTTCCACTTTGTATGAAATATAAAAAAAAGAAAAACGTGGGAAGAGAGCACTGCCAAACAAGAAGTGATAGTTCGGTAGAATCGAATAGAGGGAGTCACATGCATCAGGAGAGTGTGTCGTACTCCTATTGGTGGAAGGTTGTCGCACAATGATTTACATGCGAGATGCAGTTGAACCATGTTGATTGTGGGGTATGTGGGAGCTGAAGGTTTGCGGCATGCAAAAATATTTCTGCATATAGAGGGCAGCACTGAACGAGAATGGATATTTATGTGAAAAGAGGTAATGTACTGTATCGGAATTACCTTTTTTCTCTTTCTAAATGACTGCAAATTTTACACCATTTTCTACTAAATTATATTATCTTACTGCCCTCTGAATCATATATAATTAATAATCCTGACATAAAAGTTGTAAACCACATGGTGATGTGTAGCTCAAATTACCATACTGAATGATGTAATGCACAAGCTACTCACCAGCAAATGCACTTCTAATTTTTACATTTCAGTTATTTTTACAGCAATAATAAAAAATATACATGAAAACTAGTACCTACATTTGATATCTTATTTTTTGCTGTCAGTTGCCAATGAAACTTAGACCTACTTTTCTTGTAAGGATGGTGCTAGTACATTAAATAATTTTTATTTATTTAAAGACTGAAAAACCTAAGAACATAGAAAAATAACAAGCATAAAGCAAAGAATGTCCTATAACTATTACAACTTTACTGGCTTTACAACTAAGGCATAAGAGCCTTAAAATAATTCTACTACCTGCTCGATTTGAAGAACTCAAAATAACACTTTCAAACTGAAGATGAAATTGACAATACTCTGTACTGAAAACAATATAACATTAAACATAGTTTAATAGATTAAAAGTTTGTCTATTGTTATGAATGATATAATATAAAAATATCAGAGAGAATTATTTCCTACGTGTAAAAAAAGAGAATGTGACAGGTGGGTGTGGCAAATGAGTCTGACTTTCTCTTATAGGGCTCCATAAACAAATAAGATTGAAACTATAAAAATTAGACTTTGCCTTAGTAATATCTATATTATAATGAGTAATTTTTGTTACACTCCCTACTTGATGGAGGGGTGGTAAATAAATTAGAGAAGAGGCACAGCCTAGAGAACAAAAGTCATGATTTTCATACAAGGGGAAAATGAGGATTTACTTAAAC